TTAAACACACCAAACACATGGCACTGGGAATATATAGGTGAATCTATCACTTCTTATAACAGCTATTTTTTTAGTACCAGGGACATCTCGAGGTCAGGGACATCTCGAGGCCCAAAACATTATCAAGATCGTGGTGCACCCCTACCATGTATTTAAGTAACAATAATATTAAAGCATAAAATAAGGGCTAAGAAAGCCAAGGTTCTGATGATTGTTCCCATGCACTATTTGGATTTTTTTTTTGTGGTGTTAGTTGTTTGTTTTCTATTTTCATTTTTATTGTGGTATAATGTATGTATGGAAAAGGCCAGGCCCTTTGCACTGGCTGTTCCCTCTGCACAGAACCCTCCTTCCTGTTACCCACACAGCTCCTCCCTGACCTCCTTCAGGTCTTTGCTCACTAAAGTGAGGCCATCCCTGCCTGTATTTTTACCAGAGCACTAATCATGCTCTAATTTACTGCATATTTCACATCTCCATGTGTTTGTTGTGTCCACCATTATGCCCCCCATCAATCCTGCCTCCTAGCTAGATTACCAGCTCTGTGAAGGCAGGGATTTTTGTCTATTTTGTTTGCTTATTTGTCTCCAGTGCCTAGGGCTACGCCTTGGGCAGAATAATTACTCACTAAACATCTGTTGATTAAGTGAGTCAGTGTCTATGGAATGAATGAAGATATGAAATGCATGCTGTTTATCTGTGTCCTCAAAGTTCTGGTGGTTAGTAGGCTTTAATGAATTACCAAAGAGGCAGGCCAAGCTTAAGTTTAGAAAACCAAAAAGAAAATGAAGTTAAAATAATTTAAGAATTCAAAAAAATCATAGTGTTTGTATCTTAATGTGGGGGGTAGTTATGCAAGTATATACATATTAAAAATTAACTAGACATTAAAATTGGTGTATTTTACACACTTTTCCATTAGTGCATTTTCCACACATTCCACAATAAAAAATAAAATGCAAAACAAAAAGCTAACAACACAATAACAAAATCCAAATAGTGCATGGGAACAATCATCAGAACCTTGGCTTTCTTAGCCCTTATTTTATGGTTTAATATTATTGTTATTTAAGTACATAGTAGGGGTGCACCATGATCTTGACAATGTTTTGGGCCTCAAGATGTCCCTGGTACTAATGAATAGTTGTTATAAGAAGTGAGAGATTCACCTTTCTATTCCCGGGGCCTGGCACAGGGTAGAAAGAAGCCACTGCAGTTCATGGGTGATAAGTGAATGAATAAATGTGCTCTGCAAGCTTCTGGGATGTGGCAGCTCAGACCTGAAGCTTACTGCAAGGGTCCGGCACACTCCAGACCCTGGCCCCCCTCTTCCCAGCCCTGCTGGCCCTAGCCCCTACCCCGGCAGCTCTGGACGCTGTCCCGGACTTCAAGCCTCCTGCAGTCTGGGGAGAGATCACAGAAAAGCCTCCAGTGGGACTGAGGGCCAAAGAGAGAAGGGGGGCAATCCAACCCATAGGGAGCACTGGAAAGGGCCCTGTCCCCTAAATACCACCCAAATCTACCCAGGGCCCAAAGCACCTTCCCTGGGCACTGAGAAGCATGTCATCTGAGGAGAAGAGGCACAAGAGACTGACCCTGGGGAGGATGGGAGCCCATACCCCAGCCTGAGAGTGGATGGGACTAGGAAGAGGCTGAAAGCAGGAGGGCAGTGGCCAAAGGGGAGACAGACCAGGGGACCAGGACTTAGGGCCCCTGAGGCTCTGCGCCACTTACCAGGCAGCTGCTGTGTGAGGTTGAGTTCCTTCTGATACCTGGGCTGAGTGTAGGACCAGATTCGCACCTCAGACCCCAGAGCAGCCTCGAAGCAGTCAAATACCACAGAGCCCTGATGAGGAGAGAGGTTGTGGGCTGCTGGTGGTATAGGTAGGCCTCAGAATCCAGGCCAAGGGCTCTCAGCTCCTCTCTGCAGACTGCTGCTCAGCTCCTCCCAACCAATGAATGACTCAGTTTATACTGTATGGCCCCAATCCTGCCATTAACATTCCCTTTAAGGGCTCCCAGTTGTAAAGTATATGTCCAGAGTAGGGGTGTCAGCAGTGCAGGATAAGGGCCCTAGCTATTTGAGGGAGGTCCCCACCCCTTCTGTGCTGGGTCACGTAGCAAAAAGGTGATCAAACAGCCCCAGGCAAATGTGGGACACCTCCCCACAGAAGGGATTCTCCCTCCCAGTGCCTCCGTGGTCCTCACGACTGCCCTGTGAGGCAACCTGTGAGGGCTAGCAGATATTCTCCCATCTACAGGCTGGGAGCTGGGCACTGAAGGCAAAGGGTTTGAGTGATTTGGCCCAAGGGGAGATACATCTTCCAACTAAGTGTGGCCTCCTGAGGAAGGGAGAAGCCCCAACTCCCTGCACTACCCTATATACACGGGGCAGACATGCTATGGCAGGAAGCCCAGAGAACTGGATCCAGGCCACAGACTTCCCCTCTCCAAGCCTCAGTTTATCTGGAAAGTGAGGGTAATGATAATGCCTGGTTCATATGGTAGTTTTGAGGATTACAAAAGAAAGGAAAAATTAGCTTCCTGAGACCCTTCAGTGCTGGGGATGTTACACCAGCAGTTTATACATAACTCAGTTAATTCTTACAACAGCCATGTAAGGTAGGACTATTCTTAATCCTAATTTACAGACAGGAAAACTGAGGCATAAAGGGCTGAAAGGACTTGCCCACTGCCCTGCCAGAATCAGGACTTAAAGAGATAATTCACATGAAGGCACTACAGATTTCCTGTGTAGAAGGCAGTTAGCATTAGTAGTATTATTCCACATACCACAGACTGACCCGGCTGCACCAGGGTAGCAGGCACTTGCACCTCCAGCAGGACACAGCGGGCAGTAGAGTAGGCCTGGAAGGAGAGCATGACTTGGGCCTGCAGAGAAGCTGTAAGCAGAGGGCAGGCAGGGGATTGGTCAGGCCCAGGGGCTGGAGGCAAGGACCTGGCGAGGGGCAGTTGGGCTAGCCAGGTTCTCCTCACAATTCCTAGGCTCCTCAAGCTCTGGGTCAGCTGTTCTCCCAAGCTTTTCCTCATCTTCAGGCTCTTCCCCATGCCCTGGAAAAGCAAGGCCCAGGTCAGGCCCCCACCTCTTCCACAAAGCCCATTGCTGGGAAGCAGGGGCCAGGCTTGAGGCCTGAGAGGTGGATTGGGGGATGAGGCTGACCTGGGGTTGCCCCGTGCTGCCTGACAGACTCCCAGGTCCTCATGTGCATCCCAGACACATTCACATGGGCAGTCATAGGTGACATGCTCACCGTGCACAGCCAAGTGGACAGCCACACGCACACAAAGGTCACAGTCAGTCTCCTGGTAGCACCTCAGCAACAGCTCTGTCTGCAGGCGTGTGGGCACCAGCACAGGGCCCGGGGCAGACATGATGCTCCCAGGCAAGCAGATCACGTCACCATCTGTGCATGAAGGGTGGAATAGGAACTGAAGCTCCTCAGAAACCAGAATTTGGGTGCCCTTGACACCCTCAGTGGGCCAAAGAGCTTTGGGCTTTCTCTGAGCTAAGGGTGGATGGTGAGGGCATGGGATTAGAAGAGCTCCCCTCCCTTTTGCTACCCTGGGAAGTTCTTTTCTCTCTAAAAGTAGGGCTACTCACCCCAGAGGTGGCAGGAAAGACCCTGGGAAGGAGGTAAAGACAAGTCAGAGTTTATGCCCCCAGATCTAACCATCTTTCCCTGCCTGAGACGCCCACCCACCTCTTTCTGGGGCTCCCTATTTCAAGCCCCACCCAGAAGACAGACCCAGATCTGGCCACCTCCCCATTTTTCTCTTACCCCATCAGCACGAGACAGACCAGCCAGGGTGGTTCTGGCAGTGACGGCAGTGACAGGAGCCAGGCTAGGCCCTCAATGGGACACAAACCAAATCCTGAGCAGTCTCCAGCCCTCCCAGGGGCCCAGACTCACCGGAGAGCAGCGAGCAACGTCCTGAGGCCCCACGAGCCTCTCCAGAGAGAGGACCACGGGGCTCCGGCCCAGTGCCAAGGACAGCAGGAACCAGGGCACAGGCATCTTCCAGGTGCCAGGCAGCACCCAGGCCCGAGGCCCTGTCCCGCCCCCCTGAGGGGGGGGGCAGACACCGCACTACTGCTCCCACTTGGCTACTCGCCTGTGAGCAGGGAGGCTGGACTCTGTCCCCAGCCTCGGGGTCCCAGTGCTGGCAGGGCTGCGCACTCCCTCTCCTGGGAGTCCTGACTCCTGCCCCAGTCCCAGCCCAAGTGCTTTCGCTTTGGCTCCCGGCAGGCAGCCAGCTATTCCCGCCCCGCCCTGTCCCTCCCAGCAACATTGGGCCTGGGAGCCCGGCAGCCTTGGACTGCAGTGGTGGCCTCACCTCCTCGTCCTCTGCTGACACCTGGCCGGGAGGGGCCCCTGGAGAGGGAGGTGGCATCATGGCTGAGTAAGGGAGCTCTTACTCACCCTGGGAGTCTCTAAGGAGTAGGGCTCTGACCAGTGCACCCCTGGGCCTGGGCAGTCCTGGAGCGTTTCTGCTTCCCATGTGACTCTGGGATATTGGTGCCACTGCGTCCCCTCTTACTGGCACCCCAGGTCCCTTCATACATATGCCCTTGGCCTCAGTGACCCTTTGTGGAGCAGAAGCTCCAAAGGCAAGGACATGGGGCCCCAGAAAGTGGGCTTTTCACCACTTCCCAGCCTCCAGTCAAGTGTGGTATGAGGGAAAGGAACCCAGGACCCAGAGCCAGGCAGACAGCGGTGCCATTTGTGCTGTCGTCATGGGCTGGCTGTGTTACAATGGACACACACCATCTTTCTGATCCTGTTTTTTTCCTCTCCTCTCAGAAGAATCACAGTGAGGATCAAAGACATTTTCCAGTCCTCCCTTGACTTTCTGGAGGCATTGCTTGTGAGAGTGTGATGGATGTGGATGTGGGTGTGGACGTGGAAGACCTGGGCCACAAACCAATGCATAACAAACCCCCAGGCAGGGCTGTGATGACCGTCCAAATCAGCATCCTGGGCATACTAGAGAAGCACATTGTGTTTCTTAGTTTCTCCATCATGTTCGCCTTTATTCGTCTTTCTGGATCTTGGTCTCCACTGTCCCACTTTCGCCCGGGCTGCCCAGGGCCAAAGCCTCTTTCCCTGCGGAGATAGCCCATCTTGTTTCCCCCTCTGGGCAGGGCCCTGGTCTGGCAAAGAGGGATCCCTGAGTCCCAAAGGGGTTTTCTCCCAACCCCCTGGAGCCACCCTCCCCCAGAACTGCCAGAGCTCCTGCCTCCCCTACCCCTGTCCCAACCTGGAGCCTGGACTGAGCGTGTGCCGACTACTCTGTTTCTGGAATTTTGGAGATAGGAAGTGGAAGACCCTCCAGCCCAAACAAGGACTGGGGCCAGAGGAGCTCTTAGTAAAGAGTGACTCTCCCTGAGGTTTCTGAGAGGCAGGGTAAGCATGAAGAGGAAGCTGGACGCACATGGGGAAGGGGCTGGGAGACTGAGTGAGCTGCTCTGCTTCTGGGCTGGGAGGCAGAGTGAGGCTTTTGGGCCAGTAGTCTTGAGGAAGCAGCTCAAGGACTCCAGGGTAGAAGCCTCATTCAGGGTGCCAGCCAGTGCCCCTACCCACGGGGCCACAGACATCCCGACTGCAGCAGTCTGCTCAGCCTTGGTTGGCAAATTTGGCGGCCTCGCTCTCCAGCCTGCAGCACAAGTCCCGGCGCCCCCGAAGGCACGGCCGAGCCCCAAAGCGGTCCCAGCTGGTAGCTTCGGTGGAAGGTCTGGCGTGCAGGTTGCGCCGCAGACGGTAACGCGGCAAGGGGGGGAAATGCTGTTCTCGGCGCAGAGGCAACTGAAGTGCGGGAGCAGCGGCGGGCACCGGGCGGCACAGAGCAGGGCACGCAGGAGTGCGGCGCGGGGATCCGGGCCGCAGGCCGGATCGGAGCCCGCGCTGTTCCACAGCCGCAGCACCGTGTCCTGCTGCCGCCTACGTGTCCCCGAACCGCCCAGAGCCACGGCAGCGGGCCCACGCGTGCCACGCTCGTCCCCTCCCACAGGGCCACATCACATTGCACCTGCCGCCCTCAGCAGTTCGGCCAGCGCTCCCACCAGGCGCAACTGCGCCTCTGAATCCACCGCGTGGGCAGGAGTAGCACGACGACGCTTGAGTAGGGCCTAGAGGCGGGAGCAATAGAGGCACAGGGTGGGGAGGTAAGAGAGAGGCCAGCTTCTTCAACCCGGCCTCGGGGCTACATAATAGGGTGCGCTCCCCACCCCACCCACCGAACCCCTCATTCCTTATCTCACCTGGGCGGGGCCGGGGGTGGGTGTATATTTAAAGGCAGCTTCAGCCTGTAGGGTGGCTTTGGGGTAATTAGATGAACGCGGTAGGCTTGGCAGGTGCAGTGAAGACTGATTTCCGCCCACTAGCCTCTTGTCCAGAGACTTGAAACAGTGAAGCTCCTGTACAGAGGGACCTTTGCCCTGCCTTAACCATTCCTGCCCACTAGGAGGCCAGAGGCTCACCGCCTTGGGTAGCAGAGAGCTGGGTGTAGGGGCAGGGATGTGGCTCTTCGGAAAGGGAGTGTAAGGGCAACTAGCCTAGGAGCTGGACAGGGCTGAATCCCCAGGTGAGCTTACCTGACTGTGGATGCCACAGGTGAGGACTGGAACAACACCCAGTAGGGTGGTGAGGGCCAGCAGTGCCAGAATCAAGGCCCCAGGTGTCTGAGAAACTGTCAGGCAGGGTGAGGCCAAGCTTGGCTCCTCAGTACCCAGCATCCCTCTTACTCCACCACCCCTCTCCCAAGAACTCAACATCTGGATACAAGAAGCATTTCAAGGCAAACTGGACATCTGACCTCCACACCTGAGGGCAGAGAGCACCCCACCACTATGAGCCAGGATTACCCGTGCCCAAAGGAGGTTGAATGCGGCTTGGGGATGGAGAAGGGGAATCCCCCTGGATAGGGAATTCCTCCAGCTCAGGGTCTGGACCTAGTCCAGGAACTGAGAGCTAAATCCATGGACTCATTTGCTTCTGTGAGCTGACTGGGCACAGAACAGGTCAAGAGTGGCAAACTCAAAAAGTAAACTCAAAGTTGGCCAAGGCATCCATGACGACCCGGAAGGCACAGGCCCTGACTGAAGCAATCAGATACCACTGAGCTCCAGCCCATTCACCATGAATGTGGAATAGGACACCAGGTTTTCAGATTTTTAAAGAGAGGCCAGAAATCAGCTTTTTATAAATATTACATTTCCCAATATTTAAATGGTAACAGCTAATTCCAATTTCAAACACAGTACTGGCTAAACCAGACATTTTTGCAGACTGTATTTGTTCCCTGTGCCACCTGTGGAGTTGATGCTAGGAAAGCATGGTAGAGTGAGAGCAGGATTCCTTACCAGGACACAGCCCCCTGGCCTCAGGAAGGGAATGATGAGGTCTAGTGTCACTGGACTTGAGCCCTGAATCTGTTGGAACAAAGAACAGAGTAACTGTCCCTATAGAGGGAAATCTGGCTCCGTCCAGCCTCTGAGTCTTTGTGCATGCTGTTCCTTTCTACTCCCTGCCCCCACCCAAATCCTACTCAGGCATAAGGCCAAGTGCTACCCGTGACAAGAAGCCTTTCCCTGCTTCATTCCCAAATCCTTCTGATCATTCCCACATCCAAACTTCTGCACAGATACACATCAGTCAGGCAATCAATCAAGCACTCATCAACAAACATACTCTGAGTGCTTGCACTGTTCCAAGCTCTGAGAAGATGGGTGCAGACACTGTCTTTGTCCACCAGCAGCTCACAAACCAGGGAGGCTAATTATGCTGCCTCCTTTCTGTGTCCCACACACATGAGAGAGTTTACAGCTTGTCCACTGGAAAGAACATAAGTTGTGGAGTCAGACCACAGTTACTAGAGCCAGGCTTAACTCTTGCTTTTGTGGTTCCTAGCTATTGGTCTTTGTTTGGAGATAGGTTACATCCCTCCTTGAGCATCACTTTCTTCATTGATATATGAGAGATCATCTTTATTTTACTGGGTTATTGAGAGCATCACATGGGAATATGTATGTGAATACCCACTTATAAAGTACAGTGGGTATTCATTTAGTAGTAGTAGCTATTACTACACTGTGGACTCCTTAGTAGCAGAGACTATGTTATATACTTTTCTCATATCTCCCAGGACCTAATAAGTGCATGCTATATTGGACAGAATTGTTTTTCATGTCTACAGGCAGGATGCAGCTCCAGCCAGTGTTCTGGGTGCTGCTTAGGGTAATGTGCGGTGCCCAGAAAGGAGGGTCCACAGATGCATCCCTGTGTTTTGTACGCCTCCATCTCTACCTTGCAGGCCCCAGAAATAAAGAACAAGAACATTTCCAGGGTTGAATAGCAGCAGACAGGAGTTGAGTCTGGGAACTGGAACCCAAGGAAGCTCTTGGATGAGCATTGAGGGTTAGTGAAAGAGCACACGGGCTAAGTTGAAAATAGGAAGTGTCACAGGAGTTAACCAGAGGCTCCAAACTTTGGAGACACCCTCCACCACCCACCCACTACCCCATCCCTGTCCAGCAAGTGCTGATGCAGTAGCTCTCAAATCATGGCTGAACTCAGTAAAGGTGGTCTTTTCCCAGCTCACAGAAGCAAATAAGTCCATGGATTTAGCTCTCAGTTTCAGGTTATCCCACATGACTTTGTCTTAATTCTGAAGCATGGTTTGGTTTTAAATCTTAAGCATTTGCTATCACCTGTCTGCCTGGGAGCTCTCAGAGAATGCACAACCAGCAAGCTGCAAGTGAGCATTTAAGAAAGAACTGGAAAGGGCTAGTCATGCTTAGTCAGCTTGGTGCTATGGCTTTATGGATATATTTGACTGGTTTTTATATCAGATACACACAAGACAGTCTGCTAGTCAAACTGTTCTTAGTTCACATAATAGAGTTAAATCTGCCAGTAGTTCACAGATTTCCACAAAGAGCACTTCAGCTTTCAGGTGCTCTGCTTCCCAAAATAGTCAAAAAAACTTCTACTAGGTGCCTTGTAGAGGCAGGCAGGAACATAGTGGTAGAAGACATCTGGGATAAATACCATGATTTCACTTATATGTGGAATCTGAAAAACATAACAAACAAAACAGAAATAGACTTATAATAAAATACAGAAAACAGACTGGTGTTTGCCCATAGGGAATAGGGTGGAAGGGCAAAGGAAAAAATGAAAAATAAAACTTTGTCTCTTGAGTTTATCTTGATAATGCCACTTTATCCTCAATTACTCAAATATTTACCTTAACTCTGTACTTCAGCCAGGAATATATTTAAATAAAATGTTAATTTTTAAAAAAGAGAAAGGACATCAGTTCAAGCAGGCCAGGGAATAGCTGGATTTGGAAGGGCCAGTCTCTTGCCTCTGTTTACCCCTATAAATTCTGAAACTGAAAGTATTAGAAACTGCTCCACTGAAGACCCCAAGGACTTATTGGCAGAGGAGCTAGCTGAACAAAGGCCGATCGAGTAAATAAATAACCAGATGATGTAAGTCGGAGATTTGTTTGCCTGTACCTGCTATGCTCTGAGCATAGGACTAGTAGGGGCCAAGCCCTGGCTATGTCATACCTGGCTGACACTGAACACAGGGGGCACCACCAAGCTATCCTGTCCCAAGCTTGGGTGACCCCAGGCAGCACTGAAGGTGGCATGCATCCTGAGGAGAAATGAAGGACGCTGCTGGACCTGGGTCTCCATGCTCACATTCTGGTATGCCACTGCCGGGAAAACGGAAAGGGCAACATGTGAGAGACCATTTGTGGGAGATGCTGGGAGCTGGGCTGTAGTTGACAGAGAAGCCAGAGCAGGGATAGAGTTTGGCTTGCTGTCACTTGGGTAAGGGTGAAGTGGTGGGAGGGGTCCCAGCTAGGGTCTTATATTGGCTCACCAGTCCAGTGGGGTCATTCAGTGTGGCTGCTATTTCCAAAAGAAAACCAAGAAATCCAAGAATGGAAGTCAGCAAGCTCTAGGCACCATCCATGCCTCTACCCATTCTCTTTCTCCTGTGCTTGGACCTTGAAGCAGAGCTGGGGGTGCAAGTCCACTTTCTCCAAAACATATCACTGTGGTGGGAGAGGGAAGCTGGTCAGGGAGCAGAACCCTGAGCCCCAGTCCTGCCCACCCAGATCTTGGGGAGGCAGTCTTACCCCCTCTGACTCTTGAGCTGTGGCACTGGGGAGGTCTTCACAGAGCCTGTGCCAGCCTTTCGTATGGCAGAGGGAGGACTCCAGCTTCAGTGGGCAGCAGTGTCAGGGCCATGACCATCTGACTGGGCTGGCTGTAGTCAGCAAAGTATACCGACTTCCATTAGTCCAGGACATCTGGACAGGAGGTAGGGGCAGAGTGAGGCCTGGGGAGGCCTGAGCCCTGCATCGGGCTCACTTTGCCACACCCATTCCTAGTGCTTCAGGAAAGGACGGTGAAGGTGCACAGCACAGTTCTCGCCCTGACTCAGCACACCCAACATGTGAGCCTGCCTTGACCTTTTCTCTTGTCTGTCTCCTCTCCTTCCTGTGCCTCCATTCTGGCCAGCTCCTTGCTGCTCCCCAAACTCAGCATCTTCATATCTTGGCTTAGGTTCCTCTCAGAACCAGTGATGCCTTTCCCTCCCTTCTCTCCTTTCCAAATCTTGCCCATTTTCTGAGCCCAGCTCAGGTGTCACCTCCTCTAAACAACCTTCTCTGCTCATGACTGCCGTCATGGGCTTCTCCTTTCCTGAGTCCAAACTCTACAGCCTAGCCCTTAACTACAGCCCCACCCTGGACTGTAGCCTGCTTTGTGCTATTCATTTGTTGTGTCTGAAGGTCCTGTCTCTCATTTGGGGACAAAAAGGTACACACAGCACTTTAGGTATCACCAACCACTTTCACATACAGTACTGAATTCAAGTGTCATTAACAGTTGGAAAGTAAGGCAGAGCAAGTATCATTATTTTGCAGATGAGATAACTGAGACTCAGAGAAGAATAAGTGACAGAGCTGAACTGGGTCCTCGGGTCTTCTGGTCCATCCTCTTCGGACACTACCTCCTGGGTTTCATATTTCTGAACCTCTCTCAGTGCCTAGTACAATGTTCGATTCTCTGATTTATTGGCAGGCTGATGGTAGATGTGGTAGCCCTTTTCCCCACTAACTCCAAGGAAAGTGCCTGCATGCCTTCTGGTGGCTTCTCCAGCACAGTGGTGAAGTGTGTATGTGTGTGTGCTGGTAAGAGTGAGACAGAGAGAGGCTGTGCATGCACTCAGGTGCACAGAGGCAGCACTCACAGGCTTCAAGCCAGCTCTGGAAGGGACATTTTTTACTCCTCACAGTGCCCTCTTGCAGGTAGGATGCCTGTGGGGGATAGGAGAGCAGGCAGGGAGGATCAGAGGAATAGCCTCTTCTACCTCACTCAGACCTGAAACTCATTCTGGCTTGACCTTGGCCCAGGGCAAGCTGCCAGAGCTGGCCTGGCAGTGAGGAGGAGAAGCAGCGTGGGGTGTGGGCAAGGGTGGGTGGTGCTCAACACTTGGATGGGAGACTCAAGAGCATAGGAGCAAGATCAGTAAGCAAGGGGCTGAATCCTCTTCTCCCTGGAGAGGAGAAACTATCCCCAGAAAGAGGCAGATGGGGAGGTCCACAGTCCTCAACTTTTGGCTTCTTTGGCCTCCACTCCCAGCGATTCCCCAGCTGTCCAGTGCCCTGTGTGGTCCCTCCCCCTGGAATGCCCAAACGCCCAATGTTTGTCCACCCTGTCAATTGCTTATAGCTCCAGGTCTCTGCCTGCACCCTCCATTTGTCTCCTCCTGGGTGACAAGGCCCTCTGCCTTTTCTGTCTAGTCTAAAGAAGTCTTAATGCTAGTCACATCAGACTTACGAGGAGAAAGACTACCATGGAGTGCTAATGAGGATGAGACTTTTGGGGCTGTAAAGAATCTTGCAGTGGCCACAGCTAAAAGCAGCTGTCTGTTCTCTCTCTGTGGGCTGAGGCCAGGTCTGGACCAAGGAAAGATGGGTTTGGGTGGAGCCAAGGTTGGAATAACCCTAAGAATGTCCCAGGTCCAGCAGACACTTTCATCTCTCTGATGCAGTGCATGGCTCACAGTCAAGCTGGCACCAGTCTTCCCAAGCGCCTTGTTAATACCCAGGCTTTTTAAAACCTGACTGACTGGAAATATGCCTGACCAGCTGTGTTGTCTGGGGGCCTAGTTGTAGAGCCATGGACAACTCACACCTTTTCCTGTGTTTACCTCTATGCACAGACAAGGCAGGAGGAATTCATAAGGCAGGCACAATTTTCTATTGATGAAGCAGCAAAAGGAAAGAGAGCCTGAGAAAGGGGACAGGCACCCTGGACAAGGGCAGGAGGCCAATACACCCTGTTTTTCCTTGTATCTAAGACTTATTTCACCAAGAAATTAATTTGCAGGGTTGGGGGAGTCCTCTGCTCTGCAGTCTGACCATTTGCTCTAAGTGTCTCAATATATGGAGTGGGGGAAGGGAGGAGATAAGGAAAGGAATATACATTTATTGAGCTCCTGCTGTATGCCAGGTGGAGTGCTAGGTGCTAGAAGCATTAATTCAATTCATTAAATGTTAGCAACAGAGTGATCTTGGGAGGTGTCATTACCATTTTCTAAATGAAGAGAGCTTAAGGCCTCAGGGGCACAGCAGCAAATGATGGACTATGTGAATACAGGGGTCCTGCAAATGATACCAAGTGTATACTAGGGGATCAGAGACAAATGGAGGTTGAGGCAGGGTGTCAGGGCCTGGACCAGGAGACTCGGGAATAATCTCCTCCTCTGAGAAGCAGCAAGAAAGGGAGGGAGATGGAAGGGTGCCAAGACAGATGTGACAACTTTATTTTCTCAAGGAGAACAACTTCTTGGGGGAACTGGAAAGGCTTTGTATTGCAACGTGAATCTCACCAGGGATCCTCTCATCAGAGGTAAATGCTACATTCATTTCTCTGCCAGGCATTCGTGGTTCCTCCAGGCCTCTGCCTGCCTTTTCTTTCCTCTTCTCCCAGGTGACAAGGCCCCCTGCATTTTCATCTAGTCCAAAGAAGTCCTAATTCTAGGCACTTCAGACTTGTAAGGAAGTCTTGAACAATTAACCATCCCTCTCTGGGCCTCAGTCTCCCCATCTGTACAATGGGTAGGTCCTTTTTGCTCCCGCACTGTGTGATCTAGTTTTTTACAGGGAGATGGCACTCAGTACCTGGGCACTGAAGGGACTGCTCAGCTCCTTGCACTCCAGTGTCCATTGGTGACAAAGATGCATGCTGACCTCAGGTCCTGGAGCGATGGTCACTTGAATAGCCTGTGCCTCAGGCAGCAGGTCAAAGGAGAACTCAGGCCCTGGGAAGAAGGGGGAGTTGGTGGCCTTCTCTCTTTGTCTTACCACAGGTAACGCTACTTGGCTGCACCCATCTCCAGTCACACCCCATGTCTACCTCCATGTCTTTGTGAGCTGAGGCTGGGGAACCTTGCCTCTGGATGGGAAGGTTGGGTCCTTTTGTAGTGGGAGATGTCTGGGAATGGGACATGTGATGTCCTTCTCATACAGGCAACAACTACTCAGCAGTTTCCTCTGTAGGCAGAGAAGATAGTTGACCTTAAGGCTGGAATCAAGGTCTCTGGCTTCTATTCCTATCTCTGGAACTTGGGGCACCACAGGCAAACTGCCTGACCTTTAGGTTTCAGTTTCCCAACTGTGTAATGGACAGAACAGTCTACTTCATCTCTATGCTCCTTCTCTCCCACATAGCTAGGAAACAAAATGAGAGGCCAGGAAGGGAAGGACTGTTGGGTGTAGGGCAGGCTGGACCTGGCAGGGACAGTACCTGAGCAGATGTTGGCATCTTGTGTCTCCTACACAACTGGAACTTGTCACATACTTTTTGAATATCTCTACCATGAGTAGGAACCAGCCCCACTGAAGGCCTGCACAGGAAAGGACAATTTATTATCCAGCCCTTTATTGCCCCTCTCCTACCTGGAGATGTGGTCCAATGTTGGATTGTAAGTTGTTTTAGATCAAGGAGGGTAAAGATTTATAGCTTCTTTAGTCTTGAAAGTTATGACATAATCAAAAAAGGATTAATTTCATAATTAGAGAAAAGTTACACATATATATATGAAGATGTTCATTGTAGTATTATTTATATCAGTTTGAAAATTTAGAAACTGTCAGTTTTTAAGCACTCTATGGGCATTTAGTATGTGCCAGCACTGAGCTAGGCAATGAAAATACAGAGTTGAATAGAAAAAATCTTACGTTACATTTAGAAGGTAATAATATTAAATTCATAGAGCTAAGCATTTTACTCCCAAGAATCGGTACCAGCTGAAAGGACTCACACCTTCATAAAATGATACAACCAAACTCACAAATATCAACTCATGATGTGCTGTTTTAGGACGACCTAAATCTCTGTTGAGGTTGACAACAGGACAAACATTTTGTTTTAGTATGAGTCCCACTTAAGCCTGGGACCCCCTTAAAGTACCCCTAATTCACATCTCCACTGAGAATGGCCCAAAAGGCTGTTTCTCATACCTGAAGGACATGACACCAGATGCAGGCACAAACAGTGGAGGCAGAGCCAGATCTGAGCACACCAAGGCTTTGGGGAGGGGGAGAGGGACAGCTGGGTATGGCAAGGAATATGGGCAGACCCTCCTGGGAAAGACAGAGAGGAAATCGAATGGTAGGGTCCAAGGAGGGCCCTCCTGCTTCAGACAAGTTGCACGTGAGGCTGAGTTCTGACACTTACATCCTGGCCATGTGACCTTGAGCAGGTTCTGGACCTCTCTAAACCTCAGCTTCCTCATTCATAAAGTACAACTGCTATCAAGATCAAGTAAGATAATGTGTGGAAAAACGCTTTGTAAGGTGGAATGTACCATCAAATGTGAAGGATCATTGTTGTATTACTGAGAGAACTGAGGGGCCAGCTAAGGGGGAGCGCTTGTACATTTACCTGTGCCTCTCATTCAATCCTCCTGGCAGCTCCGAGGCAACAGTCTTCATTGTACCATCACTTCTATTGCACTGCTATACTCTTCAGAAACTGAGTCAATGGGGTTAAGTGCACTGCCCAAAGCCACAGACGGAGTATGTGGCAGAATTGCAAGCAAACCCAGGCCTGTCCTGATTTTAAACCTTGTGCTTTTTCCTTGATACTCTGCTACTTCCTAGGCTGTCAACCAAAAATTAGAATGAGAGGCTCCCTGCCACAAAAGGATGTGGGGCATAGGAGCAGAGCAGTAAATGAGACTCACCAGTGAAACTGTCATCCTGAAGGCAGAGGGCCCAGGAGGGAAAAGAAAGGAGAGAAGTATTATTAGTAGGGATTCTCAAAAGGAGCATTCTCCCTGTGGTTGTCACCTGAAATCACCTAATTCTGAGCTCATAAGCTCATAGCCCATCCACTCTCTTTTCTTCCCAGCTCCACCCTGCCAGGGCCCTCAGTGCTCCAAGATGTTGGCTACCCCTTTGAGACCATATAGAGGACACATGACACTGCCACCAGAGCATAGGGACTTGGATATAGGAAATAACAGGCAAGGAGATCGAGAGTTTTATCAACTTATGCCAGGCATGAGTCCCCATCCGGCACTGGCCCCTTACCACGTGAGAGGCCCGCAGACAGCAGGTGCTCCAGCAGGGCAGGTAGGGGCAGCCAATCCCAGTGGAGGCAGAGAAGCCAATGAGCAGCAGGAAGAAGGCAGGAGCAAGCCTGCCAGACTGGGGCCCCCCATGGGCTTCTGTGGAACAGGGCACCCAGAACATGGCTGCAGGGCCTGTAGGTGGGAGGCAGGGCCTGGCTGTGCAGCAGCAGAAAGTGCAGTGCCAGAGGCAGCCCTCCCCTCAGCCTGCCCCTGCCCTGCCCCAAAGCTCCTGGATTCCAACCAGCCTACCAGGCCACATTCTATTTTCTCCAGGCCGAGGGACGAAGGGAGGCTTGCCCACTGAGAAAACCCTACCACTCCCACCTGGAGGGTAAGGGCCCCCCTGCTCTGTTAGAGAAATAACAAAGAGGAGTCCAGCAAAAAGTTAGGGGGATGGCAGGCTGTACCCATTTCCTAACCCCTCCTACTCTTGCAACACCCTGCAGATCTGACCTGCCCATTAATATACTCTTGCACTTGGGTCTCTCCTGGACACATGCTTCATCCCCTCACTTAGAGAATTTACAGAGCTAAAAAGCACTACACTGCTTTGTGTGCTAGAGGCAGAGGCACCATTAAGAGTTGGGCAGAACAACAAAAAAGGGCTATAGGACACACATAAATCTTAACATGCACCCACATGCATCCTGGTTCCCCACCTCGCTGACTCTTAGGACTACAGCCCAGCTTTCTCTCTCCACCTGTTGACCAGTTCCAGCCCTTCTGGGACAAGGGCTCCACGCCAAAGGATCCACTACTCAGTATAGGCTGCTCAGGAAACCACAGAGCTCATAGTTGATCCCTGGAGCTGAAGGAGCAGGCCCCACACACTGATCTGGTTTCCTGTGCTTTCTGTTGCTGACAGGGCTCCAGTCTTTGTGGGGACCCTCATCATCCCACAGCTTCCTCCTGCTCTGCTTCAGCCCTCTTTGGGGACACACACAGCCAGAAGAAAGCTTGGGGTACACCTACCGGGTTAAGGCATCTTGAGATTGTTACTGTCCTTCTGCCTCTTTCAGTAGCCTGACCAGAGTCTCCTTTGGGCCAACTCTAGCTCCTAAAGCTTCCAGTCCACTGTCCAAGTATCCCGTGAATTCATTATCCTAGAAACACCCCCTACCTTTTGAGTTCCTTATATGGTAAGGACCTTTCCTTATTCTTTATGTTTTTCCAGTGCCTAGCAGTGGATATCATGGGTGAAATGGGAGCTTTGTAGTTGAATAAATGTACATCAAGATACATTTAAGTAGCAGTTTATGTTTCATATTTCACATGCACTTTTCACATTTGAGTAAAATATGAGACAGGTTAATGAGAATTAGGTTTTCCATTTCACAGACAGAAACAAGGAAGTAGGAGAGGCTGATTTCGTCCAGATCCAGGTCTCCAGCCCAGGGAGCTCCCATTCTGCCAGCCTCTCGTAAGTCGTTTCTCTGTCTACTATCTCTGGTCTCTCCTCCTCACTGCCTCACCTCCCTCTGCTCCTGGGAACCCAGAAGGGCCTGCCTGACACAGTTCTGTCCTTTGGCCTTAGAGTCCATCACTGCAAACAACTCAGTAAGATATGAAAGGAGAAAAGGGTGTCTGGTCATACTAAGGATAGATCAGGGAGTCTTCTCTCAACTTTTACCTAACCACAGTGGTTTAGAGCGACATAAATGTTGTTTTCCAATGCTGGGGGCATGAAGTGAGGCCTTGGTTCCATTCTAAAACACTTCTCTTTCTTGCCCCTTACATCTTCTGATCTCTAACAGTGCAAACATTTTGTTAATTAGTCCTTGACCCTGGCTAAGGTATGGTAGATGCAGAAAATAAATAAATGGGAGACACAGTCACACAAACGAAAGAAAAAAAGATGAAAGAATAGAAAGGGAAGAAAAGGAGCACATAGAAAAGGAAAAGAACGAAAATGAGGAAGGGGGAAAGAGAGGAAAGGAGGTCTGTGTTTTATTAATTTTCTTACTACCTTACTTATTTATTGTGGAGCCTATTCCAAAAGGGATTTAAGGTAAAAAGCCCAGCAGGTGAATTCTAACACAGGCTGGGGAAGGAGGGGAATCAGATCAGTATTTGCTAAGCTCCTACTATCAGGCTCTGGGCCATGTGCTTTGCCTATTAGGACCACAACTCTTGAGGTCAGTCTTATTAAACCATTTTACAGACTGGGAAACACTAGGAAAATAGACGAATCTGTCCAACACAAAAATGGCAAGCAGGGACTCACCACCCTATCTTTCTGCTAGAATGCATTGCTCAGGGAGATTTGTGGGAAGTCAGAGGATTTCTGGGCTCTGTAATCCACTACAGAAGTACTAGATTTAGCAGTGTGATGTAGTTGGTAGGGTTGACAATGAATTTTAAATAGTAGAAAGAAAATAGGAAAGTAGGTTTTATGATAATGAGTTACCAGTGGTCAGTCAGCCTTTTAGGAATAGGGATTGTCAACAAGGGAGGAATAACTCTGTGGCTAGCACAGAAGTGGCCAACTGGAGGAAGAGCAACAGAGGTGAGTGGCAGGCCTGCAGCAGAGGTCCTGTCCTCTTGGGAGGAGGCTAAGACCTGTCTCACCTGTGGTTTGTGTCTGAATGAGCTGACCCAGACTTCATGCTCTAATTACCTTGACTTGGGGACTAAGCCAGCTCAGGTCTTGGCAGGCCCCTGCGCATCCTCGGGTACAGAGTACACTGTGGGGGATGTTTTTCTTGTCAGAGCCTTACTCACACATGGACTCTAGTTAGACCATGAGCACCATCTCCAGGCTCTTCCTATAATGGCTGATTCCTAAGGTCTGTTGGGCAACTGTGCCTCCTATCAGGGCACCCTGGGCAGGAAGGTCCAATTAGACCAATATAAACCAAGAGTGGCTAAGTGTCCCTTCCTCACTTCCAGAAAAGACCAACCTTCAGACAAGAAATTATGCCTAAGAGAACAGGTTGGGACGTCCAGTCTGAGAGGGAAAAGCTAACACTGCTCATCAGGGATTTTGCTATTTATTAAGCACTTACTATATATTAGACTGTTCATGTTTTTTTATTTAATTCTTACGACCCTGGGAGGTAGCTACTATAATCCCCATGTGTCAGATAAAAAACAGAGGCTCAAGTATCTTGCTCAAAGCAAAACATAGTAAAATGCCTGGCTAGAATCCCAACCTAAGTCAGTCTAGTATCAGAAACTGTTCCACTACATCACACTGCCTTTCTCATGGACTAGATGCTCTCTAAGGGTCCCTTCAACACCTACACTCTATAGATCTACAAACATCAGGGAATGATAACCATTCCTCACAAAATAGTTCACAAAGCACCTTCACAATACTTCACCTTATTTGATCTCAATCCTGTGAAAAAAATCACAGTTGAAATTGGCCACAATTAAGTGTGTTGGTACTTAAACTTGTCTTCTGACCCAAATACAGTGCTCTTCCCACTAAATCAATGTCCCTTTCAAAGGGGATCCTGTTTGCTTCATGGAATACTACAATCATGAGGTAAGAAAAAGTGACGAGAAAAGCAGAATCTCAACAACCCAACAAGCAGAAAGCTAAAATAAACCAAATAGCTTTTTCTTTTGCATTAGCAGTAACTTTCATAATGGGGCTTCAAAGGCATTCCAAGACTATAAAGTACCATTCCAATAATCAAATTTTCAGCTACATTTTTACTAATAATTATTTGCATTCTTTGAAAATTAGCAATCTCTGAATATAACTCCATTAACCACACATTTCCATCTGCTCCTTTCTGCTCTCCAAATTCCACCCCTGCTTCAGTCTTGTTCTTTCCTCTGTGAAATACATCCTAACTTTAGTCTATTTCAGTAAGTTCAGAGTGCACTGTTAGGTACCAAGCAAGAAGTAAGGAAAAGACACGTAAACTAATAATTCTGTCAGTAAGAGGCAAAATAAAAATGCCACATAAATTCAAAGAAAGAACTCTCACTCTTTGAAGGAAACAGAAAGCTCCAAAATGACTGTATAAACTAGATATTGAAGGATAATAAAAGAGTATACATAGAAAGGGGGCATTTTCAAGCAAAAGAAACTGAGAAAATATCCTGTTATGGGGATTCTTTAGAGGTTCTGTTGACTGAGGAAGTCAATTTGTGAGTTCTTAGGGAGATAATGCAGGACTGATGTAGTGGGATCATACTTTGGAAATATCTGAAAAAAGATTAAGGAATTTTGGTTATTCAAAAAAATCACCTAGTAGAGACTTCATGGCATTGACCCAGAGCTGTGCTTTTGATATACTCACTTGCACACAGGGATGCAGGAATAGGTACAGATGGGAGGTGGAACACAGAGCTAAGTCTGGGACACACTGAGTTGGAGGTGACCACCAGGACATGTAGAGGATGAGGTTTTGCTGTAGAAGTACTGCCAGTACTTGAGTGTCTTGAGTACATATTTAATGTTTATAGAATAAAAAAAATTATTTATGGAACAACCTCTGGAGAGGGCAGGAATCTGTTATGAGGAATCTGGGCATCACCCAGAGACAATAAAGTCAAGTGGACAGGAACAAATCTTTTCATGCAATATTTACTATGTGCCAAACTTAGGGGTGAAAAGGGCCTTTAGTTCACAGATCTCTCTCCCACTTCTATTTTTAACTTATCTGCTCTACACCATTAGATACTACGTTCATTAGCTGTTTTACATGCGTATCATGTCTCACCTAGATTGCAAGGTCCTTATACACAGAGTAGGATTGAAATTCTTCTGGATATCATAATACCTTGTTAGACATATAACTGACCATCTATTAATACTGAATGATAAACATGAATACACCAAAAGAGCCCATACCCAAGTTGGATAAATGAGACTGCACCATTTTACAAGAGGAAAGATTAAATGTACATGGTAGTTCCTGCCAATTAGCAGCAGAGTTGCAACTATGACTTAGGTTCCCTACGTCCATTTCATTTGTCTGTGGCCACTGCCGGTTTTCTCAGGGATCTTCTACCTATCTTCTAGTGTCAAAGTCCACCCAAGCAACGTGCTTTTCACACTATTAAATCCCAAACACAAGGCACAGGGTCAACAGGGAGGTTATAACTTTATTGAGGTTCCTTTTAATTAAAATGCTTCCCAGTAGAGACCACAGCCTGCAGGGGGTGCAGCCTTCAAAACATTTCCTGACCTACAGATTGAAGCAGAATTTGATTTGACTTATTCCCTATCTCCTGCAGTCTCCGAAGTGAAGCAGTAGTGGACGCAAGTGGAGAGAATGACCAAGAGGAGGCAAGGAAGAGGCAGAGTCTTAAAGAAACACCCTGAAGGGCCTCAACTTCAACCAGCTGGTTTGTTTTATAGCTGTTGACTGCCCAGTTCAAGCAAACCAGGAATAAATATGGTTTTGCCATCTCAGTTGATGGTAATAGGAGGGGCTTCCCAGAACTTGGGTCTAGTTTGCAGTAGCTGCCAACATGACAGCTGCCAAAACCACCCAAGGATATTTCAGAGCAGCTCCTCTACCCTCTCACTCTGCCCAGTGGGAGGCCCAGGCTTCCCCCATACAGCAGTCCATCAGGCAGGCTTCATTTACGCTTCTTCTCCTGTGTGCTGGTGAACCAAGAGTCTAGGAGCTTCTTGCTGTAGTATAGCTGCCAGGCGTGCACTTGGACCGCCAGCACCAACACCAGGTACATGACGGAGACAGCAGAAAAACCAAAGAGGAAGCGGTAGGCCTTACCATGCCGGTAGAGCTGCTGTGCAGCAGGGAACATCTCCATGCTGCCATAAATGAGGGGAGCGATAGAAAAGAGCCCCATGCTAATCATGGAGAGCACCAGGTAGCTAATGTTATTGCGGGGGAAGGAGAGGAGGCCCAAGAGAGAGGGCACAATGCTCAGCAAATACGGGTACTCCCACTGATAGGGCATGGCCACCTGATCATATGACAAGAGCCTCAGGTGTCCCACGCTCATCTTAGCAACCAGCAGCAGCCATAGGACCAGATGCACGTAGATCAGCTTCTTGATTTCATACTTGAGGGTCACACTGTGGGGCAGAGCAAAGGAGAAATTTCATTCAAAATTTTCTGACCACCAATTACATGCCAGGCAAATGTACTGGAGACTGGAATACAAATATAAGCTATAGTCCTTGCCTGGAGGCTTAGCACAAGGAACAGAAGAAAAAATAATTAGAAATGAACTAGAAGAGCTCTAGTAAATATATGTTGCAAGATATATGGACTCACAGGAAGTAGTAATCAATTTGGCTTAGGAGGGCAGGGCTCAGAAAGCTATCTAGAGGAGGGTGATTTCTGAGCTAGGCTCTTAGGAGTGGGTGGAAATAGGCATGACAAGCATAGGTAATAGCCTGAATGCAAAAAGGCATAATAAGCATGTGCGTTCCAGGAAATTGGTAGGGTGTGTCAGAAATAATTGGTAGTGGGTAGGGGAGTAGCAAGATAAGAAGTTGCAAAGATTATGAAAGAGTCAGTTTAAAGACAGAAGAGTAACTCAGATCCACGAAGATGACTTTGCACCATAGGAGTAGAGCCTAGAGGAAGGATGTATTGGCGGCAAGGAAACCAACTCTGGCTACCCATTCTTCTCCAGCTAGAGCAGATTTTTCATCTGAAGGAGGAACACATTTCTCTTATACTTCTCATTCTTTCAGGTCCTAAACTATATTTTCTTAACACCTCCAAGGGCAGGCAAAAAACAAAACAGAAAACTTGCCTGCATTGAGAGGTCCCTTAGGCAAGGATCTAAGGATAAAAATGAAGTGAGGGTCCAAAGAACTTGTCATTCTTCTGGACTCTTGAAAGATGCAAAACACATTCTAGGAGACTTTGATGGATTTAAGGTAGGAAAATCTCTTTTTCAATTTTTATTTTTAAAACAGTCATTGTAGAAAATGTGGAAAGGTGGGGAAAAAAATCAGTCACCTCCAGACTTCATGCTCCATGAAGGCAGGGACCAGTTTTCGGTTTTGCTGTTTTTTAAGAAACTTTTTTACTGAAGGTGTAACCTACATACAAAGACCAGATCCACTTTTTCTCACTATTATATCCTCAGTGCCTAGCACAATGCCTGATGGATAAGCGCAATAAATATTTGCCGAACGTATACACAAATGTAAAAAATACTCCCTATATGCAGTGTTCACAAAGTTCATTTTCGGAAGGATATGTCTAGATTTTATGGTCCGCATCCCTCAAAGGGCCCAAAATAAAAGTTACCAAGTCTTGAGCAGACTCGTATTATGTGCTAGATCTTATGCTACGTTGTTCACACGAGTTATTCTTCACCAAAACCTAAAAGGTAGGTTACTTTTCCCTTTGCAAATGAGGAAACTGAGGCTCAGTTAGAAATTGGTTTTCCGAGGGCACACATTGGGGCCAGCATCGTTGCGACTCCGGGGCCCCGGCAGCCTGGAGGCACAGGGGGGATCAAGGGGTGGAGGTCACGAGAGCAACAGGCTTTCTGGGACTGACAGGCCCGGGCCGTCACGGGAGAAGGGAACATGGCAGGTGCGCGGGGGGCTGGCGGGGGAGTAAAACCCTGACGCCGAGCCGGCGTCACTTCCCAGGCCCTACGGATTCCCTCCGGGGAGGCCTCCGTGCTCCTCGCCTCACTTCATACCTCATCTGGTAATGCATGGCGACGCGCTCGCGGTGCTGAAAGTCGCTGCCGTCCGTGCCGGCCGCTCGCGGGCCTGCCCGAGATGCCATTGTCCCCGCTCACTCAGGCCGACCCGCTGGAGCAACTACCGCGCCAATCCGTCTGCAGCGTCCTGTTCGCGCCGCCTCGCCTCGACCACCCAAACAGGCAGGCGGCTCTAAGAGGACAATTTCCGGCCTCTCTGTCTCTGGAGGACCAACTCGGTGGTCAAACACCACCATCCCCCCCTGCGCACGCGCACGCGCTTTCTGTTTCAGCCCCGCCTGGGCAGTTTCTTGTCCTTTCTCATGCGCGAGAAATTAAGTCCCAGCCCTGGTATCTTTACGCCATCTGCCCATAACATATTTCCCAGTTTCTCGGGCACTTTCACGTTCTTAAACCCTAGAGTTTAAGAATGTCCTCGCTTTACAGATGGAGAAACCAATTCTTGGAAGGGTTCTGTGACTTCCCGAGAGCACATCATAGTCTCGAAGTCTCACAGTATCTCCCAATCGATTACTTGATCATTGCAAAGAGAAAACGGTGACTTTACAGTGGAGAAACCTGGTGCGCACCCTCCTAACCAAGTAAAGTTAACCTGACCAGTAATGCAACAAACTGACATCTCATGCCTCCTGTTACATTGACTACACAGCATCACTTTGTGTGATATTCCTGCCAAAAATACTTAATCTGAATCTAATCATGAAGAGATGACAGATAAACTCAAAATGAGGGACATTCTATACAACTAGACTGCATTTTTAACAAATGGGGTATGTCCATAAATAGAATATTATTTGGCAATTAAAGAGGATACATGCTATTACACGGTGAATATTTAAAATACTAAACTAACTGAAAAGCTAGTCACAATAGACTCCATACTGTATTATTCCATTTATAGGAAATGTCCACAATAGGTAAATCCATAGAGCCGTAAGAGTATTGTTGCCAGGGAGAAATAGGGAGTAACTTGTGGGTGATAAAAATATACTGGAATTAGTAGTGATCATTGGACAACTTTGTGAATGTACTAAAAGTCATTGAATTACACACTTTAAAAATATGAACTTTATGGTACAGGGATTATATCTCATTATTATATCTCAGCCATTATTTTATAATGCAAATGGTCATCAGGGAAGGATAATAATGGAAAAGCATGATCATTTAGAGCATAGGTTTGTAATGGGATGCAGCCTGGAGAATCCTACAGACCCCTTCTCAAAATAATGTTTTTAAATGCACAAAAGATACTTAGGATTTTGAAGAAAGCAAATTATATCAAAATTATCCAAAATTTAAAAAATGTATGTAGTGAAAAATCCCACTGTCAACACTGCTCCACATCCTCCCAGGTCTCAAACCAGTCCACTCGACTCCACCCAATCAAAGAACCACTTTGTTTTTTTTTAATGTATACTTCTAGAGTCTTTTTAAACATACCAGAAAATGTAAAGCTATATTCTTATTTTACTCTTTAAATACAAAGGGTGGTATATTATACACACTATTAAAGACTTTGCTTTTTGTTTTAACTGGACGATGTATCTTGGAGAATTTTCCCATGTCAGCACATAAAGAGCATCCTCACTTCTTTTTGTAGCTTCCTCATGCTATTCTATTATAGGAATATAACATTATTTATTTAACTTGCCCCTCTTGTAGGACATTTGGATCATTTATAATATTTTGCTATTAAAAACATAGCTTTAGTTAATAACTTGTACACATATCATTTCACTTAGGGGCAGGTAGATCTACAGTCTGGGATCCCAGAAATGGTATTTCTGGGTCAAAGAATATATTGTGTTTGTGATTTTGATAGATCTGACCGCATTGCCTTCCATAATGGTTATACCAATTACATTCTCACCAGCAATGTGTGAGTGTGGCTGATTCCATTTTCTCAAATTGTTTTGCCAACATTTGCTAGTCTGATGGATGAAGAATGGCATCTGTGTAGTTTAAGCTGCATTTCTATTTCTATATGTGAGATTAAAGCATCTTTTCATGTTTGAGGGTCATTTATACTTCATTTCCCTGAACTGTGTTCATGTTCTTTACCCATTTTTCTACTGTGTTGTTAGTTTTAAATTATATATAGTAAGAGGAGGGAGAAAAGAATGAAAGAGATAGAGACAGGAGATTGGCCTCTTGCTTATATATAAAAGCCATGTTAGGAAAGCAGTATAGTTTTCCTATTCTAAGTCTTTTGACTTTGCTTATCATATTACTGTAAGGTTGGAGGCACCAGAGGGAGGGGTGAGAACGTCCAGCACCGCCAACTTGCCGAAGTCCCCAGCTGCAGCCACCTCCCAAACTGAAAAATGTGCCTTAGGCTAGCCAATCCTCACACCACTGTAAATCTAAGCTCTGCCTCCCCCTAGCTTCTTTAAAAACTTACTGCCTGCCCTGCTGAGCATGACTTCCCCGGCCTGTGATAGCCAGACTGGGGAACATCACCTGGGAATTGCGCTCAAATAAACTGCATGGCCCTTTGTTGCCTCTCATCACCTGCTTATTTCGGTTAGAATTTATCTTACATTTGGTGCCGAAATCCCAGGAAGGAGCGTGAGTGCGGGGCCCCAACCGGCCACCAGCGGCCCTGCCCCCTCCTTCCCTTCCCCAACCCAGGACCTCAGCCTGCTCTCCGCTGCGTGGACTATTTTCCGGTGAGTCCCTCAGTTTCCCCTGGTCTGCTTCACTTCCTAACGCCATTTCACCTGGTCCATCCAAAATTGTAGCTACGTCCAGGTTTGAGCATCTGGCCCATCTGCTGAGGGCATCCGGGATACCCACCCCTGGCCCTGCGGTGGGGGAGACGTCCCTCACCCAGGCTCCCAGGCTGTCTCCCCTGACTTGGCGCACTTGGGACACTGGGCCCTCCTCTCAGCAGGATTAATTGGGAAGTGGCGCAGACATGGGGAACCAGTCCTTGAAAGCAGAGGCTCAGACCCCATTGCGGTGTCTCATTTCTAACTTGGCTACTCTATATTTGTCCTGGGAAGTTCGTAAACAGAAGCTAGTCTTTCTTTGCTCTGAGGCTGGGCCTCAGTATCCCTTGGACAATCAATCTCGCTGGCCTCCAGAGGGAACTTTTGATTATAGCCTCCTCACTGACTTGACTAATTATTGCCACCAGAGCGGAGAGTGGGGTGAAATCCCATACGCTCAGGCTTTTTGGACTTTGTGCTCCTGCCCAGACCTTTATGTTAAGTGTTCAATGACTCAGGTTCTCCTGGCCCAATCTCCAGTTAAAGATTGTCAGCCTCTTACTCTGCCCAGTCCTTCTTCCTTTTCAGATCTGCCGGAGGACCTTGGTCTCTCACCTCTCTCAGCTCGCTACCCCCACCCCTCTCCACCACCATCTTTTAGTTCTTTGTCCTCCCCTGTGTTGCTGCCATCTTAAAGTCCTACATTCTCAACCATGCCGTTGTCCTGTTCTCCTCTTCCAGTGGCTGCACAACCCCTCCCCCTCTCCTTCTGCCTTCACCGCCCTCTTGCCCCACCAGAACATGCTCCTCCCTCCCTCCAGTTCCGGAAGCCACAAACGAGAAGCGAAAAAGAAAGAAAGCGATTAAATATCAGTAACTCAAATCTTTATATCAGTTTGTCTGTGTATATGTTTTTATATGAAAAGTGTTGCTAACTGTAGTCATTATGTCTCAATTTGTATGTTTGTGTGTCTAAGTGTGTAAATGAAAAATATTTTCCTACCTCTGGATGGTATTAATAAAAATTGATTTAAAAACAAGTGCTTGTGAAAATTGGGCATTCTAAAACTTCCAAAAAATCTAATAAAAAATATTAAGCATTAGGATTGGCAGAGCCAAGATGGCGGCGTGAGTAGAGCAGGGAAAATCTCCTCCCAAAACCACATATATCTATGAAAATATAACAAAGACAACTCTTCCTAAAATAGAGAACAGAGGACACAGGACAACATCCAGATGACATCCACACCTGCGAGAACCCAGCGCCTCGCGAAGGGGATAAGATACAGGCCCCACACCCGCGGGACACAAGTGCGCCTCCCCCCAACTCCCAGCCGGAGGAGAGGAATCAGAGAGGGGAGGGAGAGGGAGCCCAGGACTGCTGAACACCCAGCTCCAGCCATCCGCACCACAGCGCAGGCCCAAGGCATGCATGGGGTCCTGGCAACTAGGGAACCAGGGCAGCAGGACAGGTGAGAGGGTGCCTGAGGCCGACACCAGAGAACAAAGAAACGGAAGCAGCCATTTTATTTTATTTTATTTTTCCACTTTTTTTATTGGTGAGTGCTTTTTGGAAGTCTTAAAGGGACAGGGATCCCAATACTAGGGAAAAGGGTGGCAAGACCGGTGAGCGGGTGCCTGAGGCCTGTGCCTGAGGACAAGAAAATCGTGCGTTTTTCTTTTTTTTTTTAAATCAATCAATCAATCAATCAATTGATTAATTAATTAATTAATTATTTTCTTGTTGTTGTTTTGGTTTGCCAAGTCCTTTTTGGAAGTCTTAAAGGGGCAGGGCGGGACACTTAGTCCAGAGGCAGGGAATCTGGGGATCTCTGGCCACTCTAACCCCCTGGGCAGCAGGGAGCACGGAGACCCGTTACGGAGATAAATAGCCTCCCGACTGCTCCCCCTGAAACGGGGCTCCACCGTTTTGGAGCAGCAGCCCGAGCCAGGCCATGCCCACAGCAACAGCAGAGATAACTCCATAGCATCCGGGCAGGAAGCAGAAGCCCTGTCTGCGCACAGCTGCCCAGCACAAGCCACTAAAAGTCGCTATTCTCCCACGAGAGGAAGGCCATGAACCAACAAGAAGGAAAGCTCTTCCAGCTGTCACTCGTACCAGCTCTGCAAACTATCTCTATCACCATGAAAAGGCAAACCTACAGGCAGACAAAGATCACAGAGTCAACACCTGAGAAGGAGACAGACCTAACCAGTCTTCCTGAAAAAGAATTCAAAATAAAAATCATAAACATGCTGACAGAGATGCAGAAAAATATGCAAGAGCTAAGGGATGAAGTCTGGAGGCAGATCACAGATGCCAGGAAGGAGATTACAGAAGTGAAACAAACCCTGGAAGGATTTATAAGCAGAATGGATAAGATGCAAGAGGCCATTGATGGAATAGAAACCAAAGAACAGGAACATATAGAAGCTGACATAGAGAGAGATAAAAGGATCTCCAGGAATGAAACAATACTAAGAGAACTATGT